TCTGTTATTGGTGTTGTTCTATGGTTTTTCACTTAAGGGGATGTATAATAACTGCTGTAGAGACTATCACATAGAGATGTAAGATACAATGCAGTGTGCATCTCTATTTACAAATCAAAGCTGGACTCCCAATGAAACTGTTGAATGTATCTGGACAACATGATGCTGGACTTTCTGCCATTGTCCATGCCTACAAAGTCAGGATACACTTAAACAGCAGAATGATGGATTTATGATTGTGAAGGAGTATACTATCCTAATAGTATGGAACAATCAGTGGGTATTGAGGTGGGGGAAAAGGAAATCCTGGAGCCTATGGAATTGCATCATGGAATAATAAAACACATAAATAAACTTGGAAAAAAACTGTTTCAAGTATAAAACAATGTTGAGGATCACATTTTTTTTCTTCTTCTTTTTTTTAAATACCAGGGATTCTGTTGACTGTTGAAACAGTTTCTATTGCAAACATACATGAAACATACCTGTACCGTGTGGCAGCTCCTGAGTCTGCAGGCATACAACACCCTTCGACTTAGTCTGATAAGGGAATGCACTAACTGGGGTACAAGTTTTTACTTTGAAAGGGAAGTTCTCATCAATCACAAGTCTATCCTCTTTCATTGCAGTGTTAAGATTTTTAAAAAACCTTAACTGAAACATTGAGAACTGGTGGATGAAAATAATGGCTCCCATTGCTCTACTTGTCCCTGTGTGGTGTTTATTCTTTTCAAGCTTTAGTGTCACACCAAAACCAAACCCAGAGGCACCATCTGACCCTGTGCATGTGAGGTGTGCAGCTGCATGCGTGAGCACCACTGCACTAACATTGCCTTTCCCAGGGATCGTCTGACACCCCAGCCAAGCAACATACTTCTAATTCAGTGGGCTGATAGTCCCAACATTTCTCAGCATGTAACTACTTACTCTTTTTCTCCTCTTAATTCACAAATGAAAAATGGTAAGTGTGTCCAGTTTGAAAATAAGCCTAGTAGTTCATTCACAAATTCTGCTACAGGGGTTTTACAGAGGAGAACCACATTAAGCACCAGTTACTTATACATATACACATGATTTTCCTTCCAAGTAGGGAGACAGCGCAAGACAAAGTAAATTATTCATTATGGTTACTGCCATGCCTTGGTTCTACTGAAACTAAAGGATTAAACATTATTGTGCTCTGAAGTAGAGGCAGTTAAAAAGAAAACTAATTGTCCATGATTTGAAAGAGCTGTCAGGTAAATGAGATCCCAGAAAGTGAGAAGTGCTTCACACCTTGCTCCTGTTATATAGAGGAGGCAGAAGAACACTGAATCAGTAATTATTAACATATAATGATCTGAATAAATTATCTGCTTGGAGATATTTATAATATGGTCATGGTTCTTGTTCCTTAGAGAGAGAAGAGCTACTTAAGCACTCTGTGCATGTTTGAATCTGTGTGTACAAACTCAATTTTTCTTATCTCTCATGGCAAAGAAAATAATTGCCCACACAGCAAGCAGCCTCTATAGAAAATACAACAAGCAGATGAGTTCTTACTGTTTGTTTACTCCATCAGTGACTCACTCATTGGGTATCTATCATGAGACAGGCACAGGACCAGACCCTGAGAGTATCAAGATGATAATGCTACATTCCTTGCTTTTTGGGTTGTTAAGCTTACGTGGGGAGCTAATGCTATCCACCAAATACGGCAGAAAGGAAGGTATCATCAAAAGATCCAGAATCCACATCTTAAGGGTTGTTAATGTGCAGTTTTGAGTCACTGATAAGACTGTGAATAGCAGTAAGAAGGACAGGAACTTGTGGGACATTAGGGCTAGGAGCAGAAGGAACTGGCCCATATGTTCTGGCTGCAAGTGGGTCTAGGGTGGCCAGTGGGAGTACATGGGGTTTACTCTGATGCTCAGGCATGATGAACTCCCTCCCTGTTATCAAGTGGCCTCGTTTGTTTAGTTATCCTGTTCATTCTCACAGGTGGCCTGGCAGGAGATGGGCCAGCCTATTCCTCATGACCCTTCAACTGCTACTCTTACCAGCTCTGGGTTCTTGACGGAATTCTAGTAAAAGGAAGAGAGACCAGAGCTATCGACCCTAGCTCACCTTTTCCACCTGAGTGGTCACTTCAGACCTGACTGCTGGAGGCTGGAAGGGATGGGGTCACATGGTCTAAGCCTCTGTCAGGTGGATGAGAAAGGCAAAGTGGCAGCATGATGCACATGTTCAGAGATGCAGGAAAGATCTCCTGGAGAAAGTGGTATTGAAGGTGGCCTTACAGTATTGGGAGACAATAAAGTTTGAAGGCAGATAGGAAGACGGGTGGGATATTCCTGGAGGAAAACAGAAAGAGGTATTTTGGTTAGAATAATATTGAGAATAAGTGTGGAGGCCAGATCAGAGAGGCCTATGAATGTTAAGGTAGGAGAAAGGATTTTATTCGATAGTCAAGTGGATTCTCACGGGAGGGAAAGGACTAGAGTTAAACCTCCAGAAGTCTAAGCTGACAGGTGCAGAGCAGATTACAAAGGGGAGACTAGAGGAGGGAACCTAGCTCATTCTTTTGAAATCTGGCCTCAGTCCTACCTAAAGGGCTGGTGAGAGTATATGAACTGCAGCGGTTGGGACAGAGACCCACCAGGATCGGAATGAGTTCCTAGACCATGGCAATGCAAGTGGGTAATACACAGAGAACACATAGTAGGCACACAAAGTGTGTGCAGGCACAGGGGTTATGATTCTCAAATGACTTGGGCTGTAAAGTTACTGTAACCAAATCAGATCTATAGAGATACAAGAAAAGGAGAAGACACTGGGCTGCTATGTGGTCAGAGGGTGACTCAGGACAGGTGTGCTAGGATCCTCCTCTACAAACCCCTTCAGGGTAGAGGGAGGAGACAACCAGGCATCAGGGCTGCAGATGACACTGGGGAATGGGCAGATAGCCATGACAGAACACAGTGACACTCTACAACCCCAAATTTGGGCACTGCCTCAAGTACCGTGAGAGGAGAGCAGGGATAGGCAGGAGTTACACATTTTTCCCTAATAAAGGGGAACAGATAAGTGGAAAATATGGCCAGCAACAGTTGGGGGTGGGGGACAATGCTGAGGACCTGAGGACCTGGGGCCTGGAAGCCCCAAGTAGAGAGGAAGGGGTGCAGGCAATTGACTCTGCAGGGAGCCCTTATAGCAATGTTGCAGCCTTCTTTCTTACGATTAGTTTTAGGATTGACTTATTTTATTTGAAAGGCAGAGTGAGATAGAGAGAGAAAGAAGGAGGAACAGAGACAGATGGATTTCTGCCTGCTGAATTCACTCTACAAATGGCAACAATGACAAGGTTGGGCTAGGCTTAAGTCAGGAACCTAAAACTCCACATGTGTGTCAGGGGCCCAAGTACTCAAACCATCCTCCACAGTGGGGTCCACATCAGAATGTGCAAAAAGGAAGTCTCTTTAAAAGGCCCAAATAACCCGTCTTTCCCCTAAAAGATGCCTCTAAGCAGCTTTAAAGTGTTAATCTCATTTTTGTGTTTTCAGTTTTATCATGAGAGAGCAAGGAAACAGTGATTTCACCTGTCCGAGCTTTCAGCATATCATGAGAACAGAAATGAAGAGTTGCCAATCATATACTTCTGGTAGCTTTTTGTTTTGAGCAGATTACACAAGACTGCCCTTTGAGGATTGTCCTCACCCTCTGACTGTTAGCTGCTGTACAGTTATTTTTTCTCTCCTCAAATTTGTGTTTAAAAAACTTGACCCTCTGGTAGACCCCTGATCACTGTGGCATGAGGTTTCTGGCCTAGTAAGTTTTGCTTTGTTCGCTGATCCGTCCACACGGAAATGCTTCTATCATGTGAGACAAGAACTGAGGCTATCTTCCACTTTTCTGTGCCGTTTCCCCCATAACAGGTTCAGACAGAAGGAGATCAAGATGTACGCAAGGAGAGAGATCTTCCACCTATTGGTCTACTCCCCAAATGGCTACAATAGCTGGGGCTGTGTCAAACTGAAGCCAGGAGCCTGGAACTCTTTCCAGGTCTCCCATGTGACATGCAGGGGCCCAAGCACTTGGATCATCATCTGCTGCTCTCTAGAAATACAAAGAGAGGAGTTGTTTTGGAGAGACTCAGCCTGGCACTCAAATGGGATGCTGGCGACACACATAAGGCTTAACCCTCTGTGCCACAACACTGGCCCCTACGATACAATGTATATGCTTAACACAGCATAAGTGCTACATAAACAGTTGCTCTACTGCCTTGGTGGGAGAATAATGACAAGAAAAATGTTCATGTTTAGTAGAGACATAATTTATTTTTCTTAACGTATCTGACTCATGGTTGGCTGAATCCACAGATGCTGACTCTGTGGATTCAGAGAACTGTCTGGAGATGAAGAGCTAACCTGGGGAGACGTTCAAGGCCTTGGAATACTTTCAGGCCCAGGATTTAGATGGAGTAAAATGCCCCTAGTACAGAGACACATTTCACATAGCATCTTTCCAGCTTCTCTCTCCAGTATCAACGAAAGGGCAAGTCCCTTGAACCTTTTGTATCAGCTTCTCTAGAAGAGCGAAAAAGAGATCATACAGAATACTTCTTTATACATCATCACTGCAGGAGAGGCAAATTAAAAATGCAACAGGGCGGACAGTGGGAGAAGCTAGACACATGTGATTATTTGAAAGGAACCCTTGCACTAGGAAATGGGCCCAGGCAGTAGCCTGGGTTCTGACTCAACAAGCTTAGTAATGTTTGTCTTAGAAAGAAAGGTGGTGGTGCATAGAGCAGAATAGTCTTAAGAGATGGACCTAAAAGAAACAAGACTACAACCAGTTGATAGTTTAACCAAAATTTAACTGTGCTGTGCCCTCCCAGGCACAACTGACATTATGTCCCAGCCATGGAGAGATTCATTGCCGACATCATCTGAAAAAGATTTTAGCCAATTGCCCAACTGTTACCACGACTTCTCTTTTTAAAATATTAAACATACCTTGGAATCCTGATACTATTTGGACAACATCTTCATATACCATTAGTGTAGCAGATCTCTCTGGAAGCAGGCCAAGACTCAGTGAAGAAAATACTGCAAGAACGAAAGTGGATTTATGAGAAGTCTGCAATTCAAAGACAAATTATTCCATTCTATTTCCTTGACACTATGTATTCTTTGTATTTGCTGATTTCAAATCAATCAATAATGCTGACTTTAGCAGGATTTCATTTTACTTAAAAAGTAGAGAGGGATAGAGATCTTTCATTCATTAGTTCATTCTCTAAGTATCCACAACTGTTGGGGCTGGGGCAGTCCAAAGTGGAGAGCCAAGAAGTCTGTCTGGGTCTCCAACATGGGTGGCAGGAATCCAAGCAATGACCTGTTGTCTTCCAGAGCACAGATTAGCAGGAAGTGGGTAGGAAGCTGAGGAGACAGGCCTTGCATGAGGCACTCTGCTAGAGTATGAGTGATCCAAGCAGTGATCTAACTGCTGCACCACATGCCTTCCCTATGGAAGAGCTTTAAAATGCCAAAAAGAGTACTGCAAATCCTTACAGGACAACTGCCTGCCCTATAATGGCCAATTTTTTTTAAAAAGTTTTTTTTTAAACTTATTTCAAGATCTAAAAATATATTTGAAAGACAGAGAGATAAATAGTTTACTTCTCAAATGCCTACAACAGTTGCACCTATGCCAAGCAGAAGCCAGAAGCCAGGAACTGAACCTAGGTCACACATGTGGCAACAGAATTACAACTAACTGAGCCATCGCATGTTGCCACAAGGGTGCACATTAGAAGGTGGCACGAATGAATACCAGGCATATGGCATGTGGGCATCCTACATGGCATGTTATTGATACATGGTACTAAACACCTATACCCACATACCTTTGGTTTGTTAGAAGCTTTTTTCCTGTAAAATAATTTAGCTTATTTACATTGGGAATGTATGAAAATTTATAATATATACATATGAATATATTAGGCAACAACATGAAAAAAGAGACTTAAAGAGTATGTGCTTACAGTAATATGTTTTCCTTGTTGTAGGAACTAATATGTGATTTAAAAATTCTTGCTGAAGAACCTGAATTTCTAAATAAAGATTTCACATCACAGGGCAGGTGTTGTGTCATAGTGGCTTAAGCTGTTGCCTATGCCACCAGTATCCCATAGGCACAACAGTTTGAGTCTGGCTACTCCATTTCCTGTTCAGTCGCCTGCTAATGAACCTGGGAAAGTAGTGACAGATGGCCCAAGGACTTGAGTACCTGCCATTCAAGTGGGAGACTCAGATGATGGAGTTTCTGCCTCTTGGTTTGCCCTCACCCAAGCTCCAGCCATTGTGGACAATAGTGGAGTGAACCCATAGATGAAAGATCTCTCTCTCTCTCTCTCCCTCTCTCCCTCCCTTCCCCCCCTCTCTCTTAAACACACACACACACACACACAATTCTTTCAAATAAGCAAATTTATAGCAGGCAAAAAGTGAGAGCAACCTAAGCAGATCAACTAATGAATGGATAAGTAAATTGTGGCAAGTCCTTAGAAGGGCTATGTCCTTCTGTCCACGTCCACTCCTCCCAATCACTAATCTACTCTGCTTTGTTACCAGCAAGGTTCTCGGAGGCTCCAGTCTTTTCCAGTGCTCACTGTTGGTGCAGTGGCTCAGCAGGACTAAATGGAAGAACCTGATCTTGGGTAAATCCTGCATGACTACAACAAAGGTAAACTGAATCTTTAACAGTGGCCCTTTCCCCTAGTGACACAGGCCCCTTGTGGCCAGGAAGCAAGGGCAGGTGTGGCCTGCAGGAAGCAGCTCACTTTTAAAGGCGGGGAATGTCTCTCACCAAGCCCTTCCAAGCCTTGATGCATTCCTGAGTACACACAGAGCTTCACCACTCACCCTCTTAATCCTTGTGCCAACAAGTAATGTGGTTTGCGAGCCAGATGTAGCCTGAGGCAAGAGAATGGGGGGACTGCAGCTGCTGGTCCCCACTTGCTCAGCCCCTACTGAATTGGGTCAGGGGCCACCCCTGCTCCTTGTAGTGGACAGAGTGCTTTGAAGGGGTCAACAGGATAAAGGGGAAAAGAGAAAAAATTATCTTGATCCTACCTGCCCTCTCTGGACAGACAAGCATACCCTGCAGCCTCTGCAGTTTGAGAGCTGAGGGAGAGGATCTGGGGAGCAGAAGGAGGGTGCCCCACCCTAAAGGACTCTCCCAGATTTCCTTTTAGTCATTATCCACAGGGTCTGAAACCCAGAGCTGGGTAGCTTTTCCAGATTGTGTGGAATGAGGTAGAGCCCATACCTGCCTCACACGTTCATTCTTTCTTTCCTTCTAAGGATGCCCCTCTGAGGCAGAAAACAAACATGTCCCACCACACAATGGACTCAGCATTATAGAAGGTTGGTGAATACTGTACCTGGGAATCGGATAGGCTTCCATGGGGCAGAGTTTGGCACGTAGCCATGCTTCGTGGCAGTGACCACTAGCTGACTGCCCAGCTTATACTGGAACTTGATGAAGGCGACACCATCTGTCCCCGATGTGCCAGAGGCAATGGAGACTTGATTGTTGAAAATCTCAATCAGTGCATCCCCAATGGGCTGGTGGGTGCTGGCATCACTGATATGCACCTTCAGGGTGACCTCTGAAAGCAGAAAAAAGCCATCAGAGCAATTGTTGTCAATTGGGCTAGGTCCAGCATAATTCTGCCATTACTGTGGTAGCACACTGAAGGGGGAATATACCAAGGAAGCTCAGGCCCACACCCAAAACTGGAGTACTTTTATTCAGAAATATTTTCTTCCTAATTCACAGGATTTTGTAATTTCTCAAAAACCACTGCCATTTGCTTTTTTCTTTATTGCTTCTGCACATACATACAAATAACTGATGGAAAGATTCTAGCCCTTTAAGACATGGGACTACAAACACAAATACTCTTTCATCTTTCTCAGTATTGCTGCCAAGCATAGCCCACACTGAGCCTGGGCTGTTCCAGAAGGGTCAGACAAGGATGTAAGCTTTGTAGCCACACTGGTTAACAGCTGTGCCTCTGTGGACATAAATATTCACTGTGCTGGTCGTCACAAAGCCCAGACGAAAAAGGCATCAAAATATCTTGAAAATGGAAGATCTACAGAGTGGGGCAAGGCAAGGTTAGAAGAAGAAAGCAAGCAAGCAAGGAAAAAAAGAAAAGGAATGTTTGAAAAGACAGATGAGGCAGATTTAGAAATGTGGCATAAAGGTGGATAATCACTGTAGAAACAAAGAGATCCAAATTATCCAAAAATTAAAGTGGGATGAATGGTTTTCATTTACTGACATAGGAGAAGAATTTACTGAGTTTTGCCTGTGACTAGAACCCTAAGGGCTTTATGACACAGCATGAAGGTGAAGCTGACAGCTGTAGCAGTTGAGAGGGAACAGCAGGTGCCAGGGCTCGGAGGTAAGAACAGGTCACACTTTCAGGAGCAAGGACAGCAGGTTCTAAAAGCCAGAGGGAGAGCACTTGGGACAGGAGACTGCAGAGACAGGTGATCAAGGTTACTGACAGCTTCATGAATGACATACAAGGATTATTCTTTATCCTGAAGGCAGTGGGAGGCCACAACGGTTTTAAGCAGGGGCGGAAATCAAATTCAAGCTACAGAAATATCTGGCCCTGGATGAAGAATGGGTGAGGGAGAGACAAGAGGGGAGACTGGATCTCCAGGAAAGGCCTCTGATAACTCAGGGAACATGACAGTGAGGCAGACTCGAGCATCATAGTGCACATCAACTGAAGGCACTGACTCTAGAACCTGAGGAAGGAGACAACTACAGCAATTCACATCCTAGTTTTGAATCTCAGCTCTGGAGGACTGCCCATGCAGCCTTCTGTCTGTCCAGGTCTCAGACTTGGTACCTGTAAGCTGGGGGTGGCAGCTGCACACATCTCCACGATCAGGTGGAACCACTTAGGATAATACAGAGCAGGGGATGCCTAAAACACAGAGCTTCTGCTGTTTATCATTCCAGTTACTAAGCCTGAAGCACTCCACTGCTCCAGAGTGACATGTGGGGCTGGGAAGGGAGGTGAAGAGGAGACAGGTGCACCAAAAATGTGGCAGATGAATCATTCTGGGGGAACTAACACCTTTGCATCTGAAGTTTCCTCCTAAATTGGAGCAACGACACACAGAAGAATATCTGGTTGGAGAATTTCTTCCTTGTTAATTTAGCAGCTATTCCTCTCAGGATACTAGAACAACCTTTTCAATATTGTGAATTCTAATAGGTCAATCTCTTTCTCATCCAGTTTTTTCCTGATTTACTGATTTAATAAATTTCTCAAGTAGATGATGAGAGAGAATAGCTAATAAATCCTGGACCCAAATAATGTATTAATGCACTAAATAACTCACTCAAAAATTTTAGAATGAAAAAAATATGCCAGAGAAACTTAACTTGGACACTTTACACTATCAAAGGAGAAAACTAATACCAAAACAGGGGTAAAGTCAACATCTCAAAAGCACAAGGAAATTATACTATGAAATACATTTAATTGATTCACTGCAACCTTAAATGATTATTTTATTGCAAATAAATGCTACACCCACATTATCTTAACTTTATCTTCCTTGTTCTCAAGAAGTATGCTAAGTCACAACATGAATTAACTCAGCTTTCGTGAATATTTACACAGAATTCTTCTAGATGAGGATGAGTGGGAAGGGCTTTGAAGGGTTGCATTGAAATAATTTTATGGTAATGCAGCATTTACTAACTATTGGGATTACAAGGTTTCTGTTCTCTTCACTGTTTGCTGAGAATGCAAATCTTGAAGAGATTTGGGGAGAAAAAAATTATGAATACATAGAGAAAGGAATTCTAATCAATGCTCTAGGTTCCACCACTGAAATTCTTTTGATATAGGAGCTCTAGCTTATATACTGCAACTGTGTACTTCAAAAGAGATCATTTAGCTACTTCTTTTGTGTGACAGGATAGAAGGACATTATCGGTGTGGTTAGGTGCTTCTTACAGATGACTTGGATATCACTGTTTCAGAGTAACAGCTTATCTGTTCAATAATAAATGAAACTATTTTACTAAAGGAAAGCCTGGTGAGCAATAACAGTAATATCATTATTTGTTATTAATGTACTGTCATTCTGCAAATAAAAAGACCCTAGAAATGGCTCCAGGGCTACACAGGCATTAAGATATGGCATGTTTCTGTGCTGTTCAGTGAGAGTTTAAGGATCTTGCTGAACAGAGCAGGAGCACCTGTGCCACTAAACCTGAAACTAGAACATTGTCCTTTACTCCTCCTCCTGCACATCCATCACCAATTTCTGCTGATTTTCATTCTAAAATACACATCTTAAAGGGCTTCCTTTAGCACCCATGTTAACACTGCCCTGGTTTCAAGGCTTCACCATCCATCACCCAGACTTGCTCAGCCTCTTAACAAAAGCTGCCACTGTCTTCAGCCTAAGCCTTCTCTGCCTGCCTCTCTGGAAACTCTTACTGCCTTCCTCCTACCACCTGTAGCAGCATGAACACTCCCAGCCCAACCTACTGCCTGCTCTTTGGTGATTGAGCTAAGCATGGATTTTACACAGCAAAATTTTATCTACTTTAATTGAGACACATAGAAGAAGGAAGAGAGAGAGAGAGAGAAAAGGAGAGAGAGAGAGAGAGAGACAGAGAGAGATCCCATCTAGGTTCATTCTCTAAATTCCTGCAGTGATTGGGGCTGGGCAGGGCTAAAGCCAGGAGGCAGGATCATATTCTACATCTCCTGTGTGGACCCAAAAACTCAGTTATCATTTGTTGCATCCTCAGGTGTGTATTAGCAGGAAGTTGGAATTGGGAGTGGAGCCAGGACTCAATCCCAGGCACTCTAATAGGTGTTTCAACCAGTGGCTTAACCATTAGGCCATGTTGTCTCGTCTTCTCCAAATACCCTTTGAATGGAGAAAAAAAAAAAATCAGAAGAATAACACTGTGTCACATGAAAATTATCTGGGATTCAAATGTTAGCTGCTAGACACAAATTTTAGTGGAATATAGTATACCAGTAATTGCATCTCATCTTTAGCTGTTCTGCTTTATAATGGAACAGTTCAAAAGTTGTCACAGTCCTATGGCCTACATGTCCTAAAGTAGGTAATTTTGGCCTTTTGAAGAAAAATGCTGCCACTCTAGAGGGACAAGGATGGTGCAGTGGGGAGGGGAGGAGGAGAAAAAGAATGGACAAATCCTCCCATCAGGCCTTGTCTGACCCCAAATCCTGCCCTGGGGCCTATTCCTTATGGCAGAATCATTTCACTCTGGAAGGAAATCACTTTGTGCCCATTCTGTGTTTCCTATTCCAATTCCTCCTTTGAAAGTCTGAGTCAAAAACTGACTTCCAGCTTGACAACCCCTCTCCAGTTCGTTCCTCCTCCTTGTCCCCCCGCAAACTGTGTGTGCACATGGACCCTACTCTCCACTTTCGCTGTGGATCAGCAGTGCAGGCGGGAAAAGGGACTCAGACCCATGGGCCTAAGGAGTTTGGGGCTTTACACATTATAGGAGTCCTCTCCCACACCCGCACCCATGTTTGGGGTTTCAGGTACCAAGTGGTCAACCGCAGTTTGAAAATACTGCATGGAAAATTCCAGAAATAAAGAACTCCTGGATTTTATAAGTTTCATGCTGTTATTTCTGAATAGCATGATGAACTCTCACACTGTCCCATTCAACCCTGCCCAATAAAAGAATCATTCTTCCTTCCAGTGTATCCAGGCTGGAAATGCTATCTACCTGCTGTCACAATTAGCAGATTAACTGCCCATATTACAGTGTTTGTGTTCAAGTTATTGTATTGTATTTAATGATAACCCTCAATAGCAATAGTGATGATGCCAATTTTGCTACAATGTATTTTATTTTTGATTTTTTGCTAAAATATTACTTTGTATTATAACATTTTTTTACAGGCACATACAAGGGTACCTTTAAAGGTTCATGAAAATGGAATTAAAATAATTCTATTTTGGTGGCAGAAAATCTGAAATTCATGTAGATGAGAGTGATCTAAAGGTTTATGAAAAGTAAATACTACAAAGGTCTATGGATGGATTCCTGGCTTCAAAACAGACTTATCTTTTTCCATGAACTTTTTTGAGGTATTCATGTTTTGATGGGACAAACCAGTCTATATATGCATGTTGGTACTAGCCACACCTTCATGTACTACTAGAAATCTTGGAATGGAATTCCTCTGTAGATAAGGAAGGCCAACTGTAAATAAATACCAAAGTCTAGTTATACACGGGCACCCCAGGAGAGTGCACTGAGGGAGTCAACTTCCAAGTGTGTGGTGTAGGGGGACCTTTTTGACATGCTATCATTTAGACCTGAAGAGATAGGCACCAGCCAGGAGAGGGGCAGGCAGAGGCCAGAGACACCTTGGGAGGAGGATGGTCCGGTCCTGTGCACTGAACAAGATGCAGTGTACAGAGAGCCCGCAGAGCCCTTCAATCTGAAGGTGAGTAGTACAGAGCAGCATGTGCCACTGTTTCACAGCTTCTGGTGTGGCCTAGGAGCCTCTCAGGAGAAGGAATCTTCTTGTTTGCTTTTTTTTCCCCCCAGATAAAATGTCTTTAAATT